TCTCTTCTACCGAGAAGACAGCTGCGCAGAATGGAGTTCATCGTAAGCCGGCTTGCCGAGTAAACTAAGCAGCCGGAACCTCTCCAACAGAGCTACACCCTCCAAAGAATTGCTTGCTTAAGCTCGAGTGCGTTAGATGTTAACTATATGAGTTGATCAGAAATTTTCAGGAGGGTTGACAGGCTATTAACGATATTTTCCTCACTAATAGTCACACTCTATTACTGCGAGGTCGAGTTAGTTGCATGAACGCGTATGGAGAATATTCTTCCTGAATAATGTACACACCCTTATTATGTATTTATTTTTATCACAAGATTAATTAGCATTATGAGAGCGTTATTGCTTGTTGTTTCCTTCTAATCTATGTATTATCTTCATCATTTTGGATTGCTTGAATTAATCATATATTAATTAATGTTATCCTATACTGTCAGTACTGAATATATGGAAGAGAGTGCATGTATACCTAAATATAATACATATAGGAGTAGACTAGCCTATAGTATTTCCAAATTAGTTATCTTTTAGGAACATTCTTCGTTATGCTTGTTGGACAATAATGTTTGTAGTGTGGAACCGTTGTATGCTTTACAAAGTCAAAGCTCTTGATTCGTAAGTTTGAAACTTGATGAGTGTACTGATACAAACCTGACTTTAGAAAGAAAACGTAAATTCCTTTCATCATTGTATAGCAATGTATTTGTTTGCCAACAAATAAAAAATAATCACAAAGGTTCCTAAAAATTTCACGGAATATTGTAAATGTGAAAAATTTCGTTCACTTTTTTAGAGTGATACAGATCAGATACACCCCTTGCCCCATTACGTTTATCCGAAATCCACCAATATTAAATAAATGGTCAGTGAAGTATTGAGTAACACATGAAGACTGAGGTGAATTAAATTGAATCAAAGCGTGGTGACATGCCCGGAAAGTGTTTTAAATGTTGATGTATTGAACATGTTGCTATATTTTCTACAAAAGCGATAAGAACTTGAATCTTAAAACAATACTTAGGTTTAGCCTTTCCCTTCTTCAGCTTTGGCATCCGTAAATTCGGTCATACACTGATATCGTGTATACATGAAGATCATTAGTGCTGCAACTCATAATATTTAAATTGAAACTATATGGGGCCATAATTATTCAAGCGTTTAAGATTCATAATTGTATTATTTGCAGACACAAAGTCTAATCCTTTCATGACCAGAGCACTTATGTTTCTAGCGTGCAGGTAACTTCTTTCTGGAAACATTCTCAGTTTCTAATTTGCTCTCCGGCCGTTACTGCCATTTCATCCTAGCCTAGGTTGAACTACCAAATCTGAATATTTGTGATATTTTCCACTATGGCTATATGCACGAGACGTACGAAGTGAATGACCATGCACGGAGACATGACGATTCCCAGAACTGCATCGCAGGAGACGAACATTCGAACAAATATAAAATTCCTATAACCATTAGTTTTTAGTAATATATTGACACATGCAGTATATAACAGGGACCAGACTGAGCTCGTATTTCCTGGGGGGGTGCGGTGGCGTGGGCATGGGATCACAATATACTTCGTTATAGTTTTCTGAATACCACACTTTATAAGGCTTGTTTTTTCTCTTTCGAGTTGAAAATACAAAACAATACAAATTTGTTTTTAAGTCGTCCTCAAAGAAGCTTTTCATGCACTGCTCAATAAATATTTACAAAAACTATTTTAAATAAGTAAAGGAATATTAATTATATCCTGAGAATTGCTGGATTGCTTCGAGACATCTGAGCGCGTGATAAATGTTTTAGTTGTTAACTATAGATTGGTGCACATGCATTTAAAATGTTTATTTTTATAATTATTTTTAAAATATGTTTATCAACTGATGAGCATCTCATCCGATATTATTTATTTGTCCCAAGGCCAAGCAATCAAAACTTCATTATTCGAAATCAAAGCTGCTCAAAATTTGTCATGAAAAAATTATTACCTGACACAATCCGAAGTAAAAATATCGATGAAAATTATCAAAGAAAACTTGCTATAGTCTGAGTTTATAATGCTTATCACACCACCTACCTGCATTATTTAATGCATCGGCTACCCATGAGTCGCTTGATTCAGTTTCAGGAAATTTAGAGTGTACGTCCCTCCCAATGCTAACTCTTGCTTACTGTGTAATATATACTTCATTGCATTTCTTCATTTTCTTTTGATCGTAGTTAAACCTGACTTCTCTCAATAAGACTTTGAACGACCAAAGCAAGATTCTTCGTCAACTAATGTTCCGCTTCGCGTTATCATAATAGTTCGAGCGTGTTCTCCTTGACAATCAGTATGCAGTAAGGCAATGAAGCGAAAATTATATTTTGCATGATTGCATTATATACAATACTGATGTTGTACGCGTATATACAATTCTATAAGACTGCAGACTTAAGTTCAATAGAAAAATACTGATTATTTTATTGGCCATTTTAAGGTAAATAGTAACAGAACTTTGAAATTTCATTTACGTGTTTATCAAAAGTATGCTTTCAAATTGTTGTTGTCCTAACAGTTGACAAGGGGATCAGAAATATAAAGAAATTAAATATGCATGCCTCGTAAAGCACGTTCCGTTTCAATGCAACTCAATTTAGGAACAATGCTTAACATTTAGAAACAAGGCTGCGGAATCAACGTAATTCCAAAAGACAGGACAGGAATTTCGACCTTTCGAGCGAAGGCCATTCGTCTGGAAGTTGACTAATCTCGCTCGAAACGTGGACGTTCTGCTATATTTTCCAGGTTTGATCTTACAATCCTTCAAGCATATCGTTCATCATCACCCATTCACTGGAACCACTCATGCAATTGACGTCCAAGAAGCATGACAGTGTTTCTTTATAATGATGAGAACCTTCTAAATAACAATTATAACTATATACACTATATATATATATTTTTCCAAATTAATACAGTAAATATATGATGCCAACAAAATCTTGATATTAACCCATACCTTAACATGACAACACCTATAGTATACGAACTTGTAGTTAGAGCTTAACAACTGGATAGCTATAAGTTGGTTAGAGTGTTGCACCGGAATCACAGGGCCGCGGGTTCCAATCGTGTCAGATGGTTGTATTTTTCGCAGATGTTCATATAGTTAGATAGCTTAGATTCAATAAATGTATATAAAATTTACGTTCGATAATTTCATGCATCAACAAAACCCATCAAATATAAATATAACTTCGCATTAAAATTTCAACATTTTGATTGTTGTATACTGCACCACCATACACTTCTATAAAAGCACTCTGTATACTTGCGACAAGCCGACGTCTCTAACTTGACATGTTTAATTCGATTTCTTTACAATAATTCTTTGTACGTCGCAAGCGAGCGACGGACGAAAGTCTCCTGGCAACAACTTTGAGCGGTGGACATTACTTTTCTTTTACCTGTGAATAATAAAATCGTCGAGCTATAAAGCAAAAATTTTGGAGGTTTCCCGTTTCGTTTGAAGTCTTTTTTGTTTTCTTTGACACTTGCATGATGATTGGCAGTTTTGGGTCCACAAAACATACTGTTTCCTCGGTCTTATATAGTCGATAAGTGTGATAATTAATGCCTTTTCAGGAGAATCGCGCTGCCCCTCTGACTCATTAGTTTGGCGTGAGCCGAATCTAACTGAGAGTATTCCATTGGAGACGGTAGAAACTATATATTGCCACAACAGAACTATGAATCTCTGGTTATAACAAGGTGAGACTACCTGGAAGTGATCCCCTATATGTCAGGTCGTCCTTATTCCAACGACGCCAATTACACTTTTCTCTGGGATATAAAGTTTGAACCAAGAAGAACTTCCTATATATTCTCCATGTCTGCATGCATGATCTCAGAATTTCAATTTATCCGTTTGAGTTTACCATTCGATACATATAGATTCGTCATGGCCGCGATATTCAGCCATGCAAAAATTATAATTCTGTCAGACATTGGTCAAAACAAACAAGCGAGGAATTGAAGAGGACAGCATTTCAATGATTAATTTGGTTATAAGTTTACTTCAGGAGACCACCATAAAAAAGATTCGTTTCTTGTAGTCGCTTTGTACAGATTGTTTAATAAAAAAAATTTCAATTGATTTGTACAGCACGGCGAAATCGTCTCAACAATATTAAAATAATTGTATATCATCTAGACACTATATATAAATAGGCGCTTTGAAGTTTGCCGAGTTCCAGGGAATATCTTGCTTGACTAGCTATGGCCTGCATGTATTGTTACCTTTCTGTATTTTCTCTTTCTTTCTTTAAAATTCTTTCTTTCGTTTTATCGATCCTTCTTTTTTTGCCCAGGAATAAAGTCTCTTATAACTGTGTAGCTGGTTACACTCCTAAGCCACATCTCAATCACACAGACCCATGCATGAGCCATAGCCTATATATACAAATGTGGGTTGGTTCACGAAATGCTAAAGAGTGCTCGATATCACATAGAGCAGAAATAGTTGTTTTACCTCAAAAGGTTCAGGTTGCCACAACAGAGGCTGTTGCCGGTATATTATAGCCTATATACACAATCAATTTTTTATTAAAATCTCAGTATTTTATAAAGTGGCAATAAATTAAAGCACATGCATAGCTATATAGTGACAAATGTTATCTGCATGTTATTACCTATTTATTAATATATATATATAAACTGCATCAAAACTGCTCATGGCAAACAAGTTATCAGCCCGGAAGAAATTTCTTCAAATATATATTATATATATATATATATATATATATATATATATATATATATATATATATATATATATATATATATATATATATATATATATATATATATATGTCTGGAAATCATATCACTCCGTAATATGTATTTCATAATTTTCAGACATATGTATATATATATATATATATATATATATATATA